GAGTTCTTCCTGCTCAAGCAACTTGATGCACTGTGGTGCTCAAAAATCTCAGACTGGTCTCTCATAGCTTTCTCTAGGGTGATCCGGTCCTCTCCGAGGACGATGATGAAATACCAGCCTTCCTTGAATGTCCTCTAAACCAAGCTCCAGGAAGTAAACTGTTTCTGATTTCACACTCTGCATTTCCTCTTAATTGATAGTCCTGGTTACAGCGCCACAGCAGTAAGGGCTATTCTCCTCCATTTTTTCTACATGATAATTTGGGGGGAATCACAACTAAAAACAGCACACACACACACACCAAAGAGGAAAGATACTTCCTCCTGCTCTGAACTCCCAATGTCCATCTAGTACCCTGCTTTGGCAAAGCCTACTACTGTGTCCACTGACAAAGGAAGAATGCCTACAGGGTTCATCTTGACGATCTCCAAGTAAGGCAAAGTATTTAAAGTTGAAAGTTCATTCGCTCAAAACTGACACAGGGAATAATTTCCAAATTTGAATTTTTTACCCAGTCCTCTCTTCCAAATTCTGGACTTCTTTTGTGTGACCCAGAGAGGGAGGCAGAGTGAAAACTTCCATCAGCTGGTTAATTTCCCAAGTGGCTACCTAGCTAGAACTCTGTCAGGCAAAATCCAGAAGCCCAGAAATCCACGCAGGTCTCCCACATTGGTGGCAGAGTCCAGACATGCGGTTCATTAGCCACTGTTTGCCCAGGTACATTAGCAGGGGACTGCTTCAGAAGTGGAGCAGGGACCAGTGTTACAGCATAGTGGGTTAAGCCACCTCCCATAATGCTGGCAGTCCGTATGGGTGCCAGTTAGAGTCCCAGATGTTCAACTTTCTATCTAGCTCCCTGACAGCAAACCTGGAAAAGCAGCAAAAGATGGTGCAAGTGGCTGAACCTCCACATCCATGTGAAACCTAGACGAAGCTTCTGGTTCCTGGCTTTGGCCTGACCCCAGCCCTGGCTATTACAGCTATCTGGGGAGTGAACAACCAGTTATAGAAGATTTTCTCTCACACACACTCTTTCTCTCTCTTCCCCCCCCCTCTAAATCTGCCTCTCAAATAAAAATAAATAACTTTTTTAAAAAATCATGGCCAAAATACTGAAGTCTCAACCTTTTCTTTCATTCATGCGTTCTCTAATGTCCTCACTAGAACGAAGTAAAGCAAAGGGTGTGGTTGAGCTTCAGGATCTAGCATAGGACCTAAGGATGTAGCACATGCCTCATAAATAGTTGTTGAATACAACAAGAAAACAAAAAGTAGAGCAACAAAACAGACATCTTGGGACATGATTGTCTTCCTTAGCCCTTGTTTATACTCCTGTGGAAACACAGTGCTTCTACTTCTCACTTGTTGAGTACATTTTTACTCATTGAATACACTTTTACTTGCTAGTAGTACATTAAGCCTGTGATTTTAGAGTGGTCTGAAATTGTATTTTTGCAAAAAAATTTTAAAAAGAGAAAGGTGGGGTTGTAGGCAGGCAGGAAAGACAGTGATTGACATCCGGCTATCTTCTTAGAATTGTACCTATGAAATACATGAAATTTGTTCTCAATAAAAATTTTTAAAAGTTGTCAAATGGACTATGAACATACTACCTCACTCTTAAAAGGTTCCAAGATTCTCAGGAAGAACTTGCAAACCAAGCTGTTGAATTTCTCGAGATAAGCTAGTATTTCTCTAACGGCCAACTGAATCACCTGCCCCACACCCACTAGCTGCTTGGGCACTTGGATCACACTCCCCTCCCTTTGTCAAAGAATATGGTGTTGAGGGGCAGATGACAATGTTAAAGCTGAGCCTGCTTTCTCTTATACACCTAGAGAAACCTTTAATTTCTATGAGACCTTTTCCTAATCCTTCACCAAGAAAGTATCTCTAAGTCTGGCATAAATACATAACAATTCCCTTTTCTTTCTTTTGCTCCTTCCATTCACAGTCAAGCATGCCCTTATTTCCAAATCACGCTCAGCATATCTCAACAATCTTTGCCTTCAGTGACATCAAACACTGGCGCTTGCCATCAAGGCAATGAAGTTAGTAAATTATCTATTTTGCATTTAATATTCCATGTCCTAAGTTTGCTGCAGGTATATCTATATAAACAAGTTTATCTTCAGCCACATGTAAAGAGCTCATGTTGAAAAAACATAAATGTTTTGTAATATTTTTTCTCATGGTTACTTAATTTCAAGTAAAAAAAAAAGTAGGATCAGTTTTATTGAAATTTTATTCGCTTGTTTATTTTGAGGTTGATGTGCTTGTGAGCAAAAGGAAAGAATATAAAGATGTGCTGACAAAATGGGGATAAAAAAATAAAAGGCAGAGAAGCAGTTGCGAATGGCCCAATATTAATCACGTATCTGGCTGTGTACCTGGTTCTATGCCGTTACTGCAGCACTTCCTCTGTGGCACAACTTTTCGCAAATTTACAGATGTAGACAATTAGGCCTTTGAAACTAAAATTTGGTTTCCAACACAGTTTATTTCTTTGTCAACATAGATACCATTTGAGTGAGAATCTAGAAAACTCGTGAATTTGGAAAATGGTGACCTCCATCCCTGCCAGAGCTTTTTTGAGCTCCTAAAGTCTAAAAACAAAATGAACTCTGACAGGCTCTGGTGTGCATCCACAGGCTGCTCTGGCTTCTCTGGCTTCTGTGTGTCCTTACATTCCCCACAACCTCCTTTGCCAAGGGCAAGGTCCCTGCATGGAGCGGGGTTCCCATGCCAGCTGACAGACGGAGTCAAACGTCCCCCTCTGTGGCCAACTCGCCCGGAACCTGCACGCACCTGCCTTTGCTCTCCCCAGACACGGTTCAGAGCTCCTGGGCTCAAGTAGAGGGGATGGTACTGCCCTGCAGATGTCTTCAGGATAACCTGACACTGGTTCTCTAAGATCAGTGTGTCTGGGAGGCAAATGGCTCAGAAATGAACAGAGAAGCCTGCCCAGAGTTCTGTCGGGCGCTCACAGGCTGCAGACAGCTTTAGAAAACCAGCACACTGCACTCGGATAAGGAGATCAAACAGAAGCTTTATAGAGTGTGCCTGCTGAAGACAGTGATGTAAAATCTAACTCTGACCTTCTGGGGTTTCTATTTCACCAGAGCTGTGCCATCACACATCAAGAAATCGATTTTACAGAAGGCTTGACTCTCCAGATTCCAGAGGAAGGTTCCTCACTCACGGTTGTTGTAGGGTAGGCAGAGAAAAGGTAAAGCAGAGAGTGAAACAGATATATTCCCAAGAAACAGTCTGACTTCCTGTATTTTCTAATCTCATGCTTCTAAGAGTAGGGATGCATTTAGTTTAAAACGGATGGGAGGTAAGCACATGCCCAATGCAGTGTTCAAATCTGGAGTGATGAGTTCAAAATATAAGTACCAAAGTGTTGTATACATATCTGATCACACTTTTATTGTTCTTGCAAAAAGCATCCATAGCATTCCCCGGGTATCAGAGAGGTCCATAAGCCAATTCAAGCTAGGAACCGCTGCCCTTTATCTTCAACATTTCAACCAAATAGTAAAACAACAACAACAACAATAATAATAATAATAATACAACTTGTTGCCAAATTCCCTGGATAAGTAAGCTGGTTACTACCCTCCCAAATGACATTGTGTCAACCTTTTCTCCTGGAAGAGATGAAATATGAAAAAGCTCCCTGTACGGCCCCATCCTAATCCCCAGCATCTTTTATGCCCTTTATTGTATCTAAAATACTCTGTAACAGCATCCTGCCTGCCTCACTCCGCCTCCCCAGCAGGAAGAGGCCAAGCTGGAGCATTCATCTCCAGAAACACCCATCACTCCATCTAATCATAGAAGGCAAAAGTACATTGACTAGAATTACCAGTTGAGCCCATTCTGCTTTTGTTTCCATTCTTGGTGTGTTGTGTGTTGTGTGTGTGTGTTGTGTGTGTGTGTGTGTGTGTGTGTGAAAGATATATTTGTTTATTTTTAAAGTCAAAGTTACAGAGACAAGGAAAAACAGAAAGAGATTTTCCATGTACTGGTTCATTCCCAAGATGGCCATACGAGCCACGTTTGCCCTAGGCTTAAGCCAGGAGCCAGGAGCTTCACCTGGGTCTCCCCTATGGATGACAAAGTCTCAAACACTTGAGTCACTTTCTGCTGCTTTTCCTTGGTCATTAGCAGAGAGGTAGATTGGAAGCAGAGCGGCTGGGACACAAATTGGTATCTTTATGGGATGAGGGCATCAGAGGCTGTGGCTTTTCCTGCTAGGCAACAAGGCGGGGTCCTGCTTTCATAATTTAAAAAAAATATATTTATTTATTTTTATTGCAAAGTCAGACATGCAGACAAGGTGAGACATAGAGAGGAAAATCTTCCATCCGATGACTCACTCCCCAAGTGACCACAACAACCGGTGCTGCACCGATCTGAAGCCAGGAACCCAGATTCTCTTCTGGTCTCCCACATGGGTGCAGGGTCCCAAGGCCTTGGGCCGTCCTCGACTGCTTTCCTAGGCCACAGGCAGGGAGCTGGATGGGAAGCAGAGCTGCCGAGATTAAAACCGGTGCCCATATGGGATCCTGGCGCGTTCAAGGCGAGGACTTCAGCCACTAGGCCAGTGCTGGGCCCCCTGCTTTCATTCTTAAAAATATCTAAAGGGGTTATTGTAATGCAGCACTACATAAAGCCATAAAAAAGACTGTGACAAGCAGGTTTGTCTATATATATGCACCTGAGTGCCAAACTACAAGCAATATCTTGAGTCGTGGCTTCAACCTGGCCCAGCCTCGGCTGAGGTGGCCACTGCGGAGTGAACAAAACGATGGAAGATCTCTCTCCATCTTTACCCTTCTCTCTCTGCATTTTAAATAAACAAAATAAATCCTCAAATAAAAACAAAGCAAAAAGACGCTGCTGTAGTACCTAATCTGCATCAGAACTATCAGGAGCTAACAATACAAGAACAAGACGTGGTGGCATGCTCAACATTCCTTCTTTCTCCACAGATTCGAAATGTGGCAGCAAACCTTTGCGTGGACAGTAAGCATGGAGCCACAGGGACAGAGCTAAGGCTGGACATCTGTGTCAAGGATGGTTCTGAAAGGACCTGGTCCCATGAGCAGGTAGGTCCACCCCTGCAAGTCACGGCCACGAGGCAAGAAGAGGCTAAGACAAATGTGGAAAGAAGCAGTGGAAACAAGCAGGGGGCATGGGGACCCAGGCTGAGGCGGTCATACTGTAATCAACCAACCCTGCGTAAGCGAGTCACTTCACTTCCCTGTTTTTCTTCTGGAAGTGATTGCAGTAATCAAGATAATCTGTCTAAATACATGCAGTTTAAATACTAGAAAGGAGACGGAAATGGTGACTGTGGCCCTTGTCTTTCCCGGAGAGTTTTCAATACAAGAAAAGCTGGTAAACTTCAAGGAACTCTTCCAATTCAATGCCACAGGCTTCATCAAAGACTCCGTTGTTCTGTGGGGCAAGGACTGCACTTAAACTTGTCCTACCCCAAACCCCGCCCCCACCTTCTGCCAAAGGATCGATTCCAAGTCCAGGATACTACGCCTCGTTTGTGCTTTTAATTCCCCAGAATCGCAACACCGTCCTAACAAAACCAAAAAAGGGAACCAGCAGAGCCCACTCAGTCATTGCTGCCTTCTTTCTCAGAGGTCTACCTTGTCATTAGTCTAGAGAGTGTCCCCGTGTCCAGCCAAGGACATCAGAAAGCTGTTCAGCTTCACCAGGATTGGTCATGCTGGTGCTTGTCTCTTGCTGTCCACTACCCGTTTCTGCCCCGCCATGGCCCTGTATTGCGACACAGAGAGGTTTGATGCTAGTAAAACAACACTAGACAAAGTGTGTAATACAAGCCAGCTCAAACTCATTCAGTCAGCACTGATGATCCTCCCACCTCACAGCTGCATGGTATTCTGGAAGGATCCCAGGCCTTGTAAGCAAACCAAACTAGATCTCAGTTTACACGCAAGTGGTCTTGTGAAATTGTTCAAAATTTGTACACCATATTTTTCCCATCATTTTTTTTAAGATTTATTTCTGTATTTGAAAATCAGAGTTACAGAGCTAGGACATAAGACTGAGACAGAGAGAAAGACAGACACACAGAGATAAAGAGAAGAGAAACAGGTTGTTCCATCCCAATTCACTCCCCAGATGGCTGCAATGGCCAGAGCTAGTCCAGAATAGTCTCGAGTGTCACCTGCGTCTCCCACTTGAGTAACAGGGGTACACACACTTGGGCCACCTGCCTCTGCATTTTCCCAGCCCATTAGCAGAGAGCTAGATCACCAGTGGAACAACCAGGACATGAACTTGTGCCCACATGAGATGCCAGTGTCATAGCTGGTGGCTTTACCCATTATGCCACAATGCCAGCCCCGGTTCTTCCATCTTTAAATAAGAATAAAACCCAGTCGCTGACAAAGTTGTTATGAGAATAAATAATACTTATTACCACAACAGTGTCTCTCACATGGAGTAGGTGCAGAATAAATACACTTTCCCTTCTGCCTTTTCAAATACACCCACAGATATCACTAGATAATACCAAATTAGAAGTTTCTCTTGGGCCCAAGGAAGCTGTGACTTCGATTGCATTTATCCATTCCTAACAAAACAAAAAACAAAAAACAAAAAAAAACCACTAAGTACTACTTGCCTTTCATTCACTATATCCTACAGTATCACCCAGCTACCAGATGGACCAGATACGTTTTAAAAGGACTTGAAGATCCAGGATTTACTGATAGGAATCAAATCTGAACTTGCATTCTTCTTCCTCAGTCTCCTTCAGTTATCACCACAGGGATGACACTACGGATCTGAACAACAGTAGGACTGGACTGTCACCTCCAACAAGCAATTCTGACCTTGCCTGAGAGCAAAAGAGAAGGCTAAAGAGGCTGTCGCTGTGACTGGCCTTTGGAGTATAAAGATACATTTTATCAAAGGAGCAAGCCACAAGAAAAACCTAAATTCTCTCAACCACTTCTGTTCAGCCTGACCAGGAAATAAATACATCTAGCTAGCTGGTGGCCATGAAGGATGCATGCCTGAATGGCTACATCAGATCTTGTATTTCTATCTATCCAGTGATATTTTACAATGAATTTTGCTCATGTCTGCAGACTTTATTTGACATCTGAAAATGAATAGAGACAGCAACTACTATAATAAATGTATTTTAAAAAGTGTTGCTTCTCTTATCCCACCTAGACCAAATTGCTAAAATCTACAGCATGTAATTTAAGGAATGGCCACCAGAGAGCAGCACTAGACAAGCAGACACTTCATCGCTGGAGGAAAAAAAGACAAGCTAATGGAGCTCTTTAAAAAGATTTCCAGTCCCTGGAGATTCCAGAAATAGAACTACAGGAAGATTTAATCTTGACAAGCGGGGAAAAGATGATTTGTGTATGAAATGTTTATCACCATATATAGACTTGGGGGTTAAAATATCATAGGCGGCTTCATTTTCCAGTAATTAACTGTAAGCTGTGTTCAATGTCATTCAATGACTTGTAAGAATTAGGATTCACCGTCTACACTTAGATTAAAATCCCTGGATCAGAAAAGAAATATATCAGGATATGAAAATTGGGTATTTTCTTCTTAGTTTAAAACTGTCCAAGGAACACAAAGGAAATACTTCTTAGAGTTGAAATGCTGTATTTTTCTCCTTTAAAAAAATGGCAAAAATAAAACAAACGAATAAATGAAACTGCTATATGGGAGACAGAAAGGAATACACTGAATCACCTTTATAAGAAAACTCCTTTTGTTGCAGAACACAAGTCATGACTAATCCCGCTCCTGTGAAGGAAGCAAATACATGATTCATTTTCCAGGGTGATCTGTTCAGCTGCTTGGTATCATTGTAGCATTGTGTGTCAGCTCTCAGTTTCCGTTAGGGACCAAGAAAGAAAAATAAAAATAGATCCAAACAAGACTGTAAGGTCTGGAAAGAATAATTCCCAGTTCCCTTTATGAGTCCAAGAGGGAGGAGGAGGAACTCTCCTTGGCCTCATTTGACTGTTCTCACTCTGCCGGCCTAGCACTGGCCAGGAGGGCTTGCTGCAGACACTGCCTTGTGCTGAGGGAGCAGACCTAGCCTGGAGACAGTCAGTGCATGTATCGAAGCTCATGTGCACCAAGCTGCCCCAGTCTCAGGCTGGAGCATAAGGACCACTGCACACTGCAAGCAGAGACAGGTCATCGCATCTCACGGACCTACTGAATAATAATGAGACCTAATAAAGAAGTGAACACAGCTAACCACGGAGGACAAAATGTATTCAATCATCTCGGAATGTCACAAGAAGACAGTGAGTGCTAAGCATACGATACAACAGGCGAATTTACACATGCCGCTAACATGAAAGCAATGACATAAAAGTTATCTTCCAAAGTTTATATTTTAAAGTATTACTGAAAAACAAGAACATGAAGAAATGAACAATAATTTACTTTTAAACTGAGAGAACAAAGGCTGAAGGAAAAAAAAAAAACCCTCAAAGGTATTTTTTGTAATAGAAAGCCAAAGAAAATCTAAATACTCTTGTCAGGAAAAACAGCCCAAAGAGAAGGAGGCAAACTATAAATGTCAAAATAATATTTCCCAAAACAACAGTCAACATAATGTGATAAAGCCTGCTTGTTTTTACTTGAAAAGGTTGCTCAAATGCCTGATGAATGAAACACTCAATGTTTGGTTTGACCTGGCCATTAGCCAACGGTAATGAAAAGCATGTCGGAAATGTGAAAGAAAAGTTTAACTAACAGCAGATCAAAAATAAAGCAATTATTCGGAATATAATCACCAAGTAAGAAGAGCGGGATGGAGGGAGGGAGAAAGAGGAAGAGGAAGAATACATAAAACACTGTGTATACTGCACCCCGCCGCAAGTTTCCAAGTGTAATAATTTACATGCAGGATTAGAACAAGCTTAGAAACAAGACATGAATTTCGCTAAGAGAACCCTGAGATATAATTATGACAACAGTCTATCTACCTGAGAAAAACATTCGCCCGTGTTTGCTATAATGCAGGTGCTATAATGCAGCCCATCTTAGAGAAGTCTGGCCCTTAAAGTACAGCAGTGACAAGCCATTTACTGTCTGTAAGCCTGACTTCCACTCCCAGGCACCACTAAGGTCTATGCAAGGTAGTGGTTACAGTCCTTTCCAGCTGTAGCCTTCTGAGCACATAGAAATTAAGCACAGAGACAGGGAGATGGAAAAATCAACCAAAGCCTTTATTCTGCATTGATCACAATGTGCAACGTACAATGGAACTGTGATGTTTAAATAAAATAAATATTTAATCGAGGAGCTGGTACTGTGGCATAATGGGTGAAGCTGCCAACTGTGATGCCAGGATCCTAAATAGGCCCCAATTCTAGGCCCAGCTGTCTCATTTCCAACTGAACTCCCTGATCATGCAAGTGGGAAAGCAGTAGAAGATGGCCCAAGAACTTAGGCCCTTGCCGCCCACATCGGTGACGTGGATGGAGATGCAGACTCCTGGCTTCTGCCTGGTACAGACACAACTGTTGTGGCCATTTGGCGAGTGAATCAATAGACGGAAGGTCTCGCTCTCTATCTCTTCTCCCCAACTCTGCCTTTCAAATAAACAAATAAGTAAAACACACAAAAAATATTTCATCAAGATTAATTTCAGGTTTTTGAACCAGGAAATTTCTAGGGTAGAATGATTCCAAAATCATCAAAGTTTAAAGTTCAAGACATGACGACAAAGTGTATTATCAAGGATATTATTGAGGTTGGACACAAACAACATCTAAAAAAGACTAACTAAAAAATACTTTGTCCATATTCACACTTCACTTATGCTCTGTTACTAGGATCAGCGAAAGCTTCATTTATTCAGTAGATATTTTATTGAGCATCAATGACGTACCATGAATTATCTGGGTACTGGAAACTCAGATAAAAAAGATGCAAGCCCTGCCATAAAGAACCTCACTGTCTGGCAAGGTACACAGAAACACAAAGGGACAATCGAGGTGAAATAAAGTGAGGAGTAAAAAGGTCAGAAGCTCAAGGAGACGGGCTTCTGGGACGAGTGGGCACCGGAAGTAAACCTTAAGGCTGGTCAACATGAATTCAGTTGACTGGCAGATGTCGGCCTTCCATCAAGTGGGTCTTCCTCTAGCAATGTCACAGAAGGGAAAATGCCTTCATTGTGCAAGAACCGCAGACACTGCTCAGTGTTTCTGGAACATAATTTTTAAAAAAGCTGAAAAAGAACAGTGTATTTTGTATTACTGTGATGATAGTAAAGAAGATAGAAAGAAAAGGTAGAAAGAAAAAAGGTTTAGTTACTTCACTGTTGTGAAAATTCAAGGGCCTTCATCTGGTAATGACCTTCTTACTGGCAAAGTCCTTAGGTGGCACATGGCATGACAATCCCATAGCAAGAGATAGGGAGCCCATATGCTCTGTGTGTGTGTGTGTGTGTGTGTGTGTGTGTGTAGCTCTCTTCTTCTTAGAAATCCAGTAGTATTCAATCACAGAGCTTCCTTCTAATGAGCTTCAAAACCACCACCTCTAAAAACTATAGTAAGATTACGATGGGGATTAAATATCAACATGAGCCCCTAAACTATCCAAATCATTGCCAACAAAGATCAGACCATGGACAATTTGTCATGTATTGAAGAATTTCACTTCTTTAAATGTTATTTGAAATGTCATGGGATTTTAGGCTGAGAAGGAGCATGGCCAAATAGGGATTTCAAACACCCTTCTCTGGAGGCCGAGAAGGACAGGTGTCTAAGAATCAAAGCAGGAAGATGAAAACATTTGAAAGGTCAGGAGAACCTGTCTGTCACAGGTTTTGAAAAGAGAGTAATCCAAATCAGAAATAGCTGAAGAGATATTTCCTTGAGAAGTAGTTCTGTGCAGGGTTTAAATGTGTCTAATGAAACATATTTTTGCCAAACTCAGGACAGACATTTGACTGGGCGGATAAAATGCGTTAGGATGCCTGTGTCAGGGTGGTGCCTAGATCCGACTCCAGCTCCCTGCTAATGCAGCTCCCAGAAGGCAGCAGTGGTGGCTGAAGGAACAGGGCTTCTGCCACCCATGTGGAAAGCCTTTAACGAGCTCCTGTTCCAGCCCCTACCCAGCCCAGCCCCAGCAGTCAGAGACACGTGGGGATGAACCAACAGACTAGAAATCCATCGATGGACCTAGGTAGCATCTATCTGCTTTCTCTCAAATAATTATTTAAAAAAAAAAACTCTATGGAAAGAGACTGCACAATTCCTCTTCATGAATCCACTTCAAATACCTACCCTAAAACCCCTTTTCTTCCTATTTCAATCATTCTCTTTTGTCCTGTCTTCCAGGGAAAGAGAGGATGCACCTGCAATTTGCCAATACTCAATTGTTTTTCCCACATTTGATTGACTGTTTCATCTTCACCAGACCACTTAGCCCCGTTCTTGCCATTTGCCTGAGTTTCCTCACCATCTCTTGTTTCGGCTAGCCATCTCTCTACATTTTATTTCCTAGGTAGGACTTCAACACTGAAATATGCAGAAGTGCATGATCTACAGTGCGGCTCCGCACTGTGCTTGCTTTTCTATCACCCGAGTTTCCCTGACAGCTTTTCTTTATTTTGCATTTCACAGCTTAGCTTCTCACAGCTGGCCTGCCTGAAATCCTACTGTGGGAATTATGTAACCTCACTGAAATTTTAGAATTAGAAGAAATCCTAGGGAGCATCTAGTCTATTTTTCTATGTACTTAGAATTTTCTCCTACTGTACCTTCAGCTGTTGCCCAGCTCAAATAACTCAAGAAAATGTCCTTTGTTGATTTAACTTAATACACTCTAAATTCAACTGACTGTGTCAGAAGTAAAACTTTCATTTTTCAAAATTTGCTTATCTGAGAGGCAAAGATTTATGTATTTATTTCAAAAGCATCATTACAGGGGGATGGGGGAAAGTAAGAGGTATCTTCCTTCTGTTGGTTCATTCTCAAACAGCCACAACAGCCATTTAAAATTCCGTCTGGGGCTCCCAAGTGGGTGGCATGGGACCGAGTACCAGCATCATCTTCTGCTGTTATCCCAAGCATTAGCAGGCCATTGGATCAGCAGTGGAGCAACTGGGACTGCAACTGATAAGCACAGGTGATGTCAGCCGTCGTAGGCAGCAGCTTCAACCACTGAGTCACAATGCCAATCCTTCAAAGGCAGCATTTTTGACATAAGGGAATAAGGCATACAGTATAGGACAGACTAGGATAAAGAGAGGTTGAATGAAATATGAATCCCTTGGACACAATAAGACAAGGATCATTTCATGAAAATTCTGTTTCTTGTACAGTAGAAGCAGATCAGTGGGGGTGCACTATAAACCGTATTTCTCATTGTGAGTTGCAACTTCCTGCCTTGCCCTATAGAATTATTCTTACAAGTTGAGGTAATTATTCTGCCAGTTCTTTTCTTCATTAAATTTATCTTTCCTTTAATTTAGATTTTTCCTTGTGCTTACATCAGTTCAGCTCAACTCTATTCATGGTGTTTTTTTTTTTTTCAGTGCAATGCTTGTTTAAGCTAAGTGTACAGCATTTAAGCCAGTAACATATGAGTAGATAAGACTGGGCGTATTCAGGATGATACTGCTCTAAACTAACATTGTAGCTAAATAAAGAATACAAAAGTTCTATTAAGACGTTCTTCAGTTCTCTCTCTTCCACCTCCCATTTTTCCCCCACTCACTCTCCTTTTCCTCTCTCTACCCCTTTCTCTCTCCCTCTTCCTTTGAACTCACCTTCTGCCATTTCCTCTCCCACACCAAGCCCAACAGGAAACTCCTTCTTGTTTGCCCATCTTATCAGCCTGGACCAAAGGTCTGGCTACAGCACTTTATGATATGTGTCTTTTTCTATACCTTCTTTTTATGCTAAGATGTGGCTGTTCTTGTATTTCACAAAGCAGGAGTCCTAAGTTACTAAGAAACATACCTTTTCCCTGCTCTCCCAATCAAACTCACTGCTGCTACTCTGCTACTGTTTGCCAGGTCTTCACCTTCGGATGGAGAGAAGATATTCGACCTGGTGAGCCACTGCACACGCGGAAATTCTGCTTCGATGCCATCTCCCATAGCAGCCCAGTCACTCTCTATGATTGCCATGGTATGAAGGGAAACCAGTTCTGGGGATATCGGAAGGTAGGTGTCACTTCAGTGTGGTCATTCTCCAATTTCCATGGCTTAACTTTTTCTTAAAAGTCAGTTTTGATTGCAAATGTTACTTGCACATACACACACATCCTTTATAGGCGCATTTGGAGACCACCAGCAAAAATGCGGCAAGCTCCAGCATTTTGGAACAGCAAGTTAAGCTTCTGCCTAAGACAGTCAGTATCACACGTGAGCACTGGATGTTGCAGGCATTTAGGAAGTGAATCAGAAGATGGAAGGTCTCTGTCTCTCCATCTCACTGTGTAACTCTGCCTTTCAAACAAATACGTTTGTATTAGAGAAAAAAAAAAGAGAATCAGATTCAAAACACACAGAGATGAATGCGTCTATTACTTTATACAATGCCTGAAGCTCATTAGATCAGGATATCTCTGCTAAGACAATTAAGTTTATCGAGGATATCAACGGAGACCTTATTGAGACAATCTTTAATCACAAAGAATTATAAAGTTAATACATAAGATCAAAGGCAAATATAAAACTAGGTTTTATTAAGTCGGTAAAATAAAGAACAATCAATTATTGTTTTCAATCAATTTCCTTTGATAGCTTTTTAGAATACTGTACAAGATTGTTTGTCAAAGAACTGATTTCTAAGACAGAATTTGACTGTCAATTAGCAACTGTCCTTTGAGCTCCAGGCTGCCCCCTCTCAAACTCCTCCCGAGCCTTGCACTCCCCGGGATAAGCCAGCCCTGTCTGAAGCCATAAGGAAAATACAACACCACTTCCTTCTTGAATGTGGCTCTCCTAAGCCTAAAGCCCAGTCAGCATTCCCTGAAATGACCAAAAGCTGAGGGAAAGAAGCTGCGGAAGGCAAGCATGGGGTGCGGAACTGGGGTGTGATGGGTATTCCCTAATTAACAAGCACTCTGGTGTCCGACTCTGGGATGTGGGCACCTAAAAATGCACTCACTCCAAAGCAGGTGCGTTCAGCCTCCCACCTCCATTACCCCAACAGCCAACAAACTGTGGCGATGTGTCCAAAAAAAGCACAGAACTTTAGCTGTTATGTTTTCCTGTACAACAACTGAAACCCAGAAGAGCTCATTAGTTGGTGTCAGATACAATATGGGTCCGGGGGAGAGCCAATGAAGTTGAAATTTTCACCATTGTGTGTGTGCGCGTGAAATAGAAAAATCAATGGTTAATCTTGTCAGATCCTTTCTTTATACAACACAATATTGTCTTGTGTACTGCAACAAAACAGAATATTTTAAACAATTCTACTCTGACCTTTAAGACGTTAGTTTCTATACACATCAATACAATGCCTGAAATGCTGGTGGTCTCTAAGGGACAGAGCATTTTTCATTCTTTTATGCTTAGATCATGAGAGAAGACCACTCAGTAACATGCAATTAAGTCAAGAAAATATAGTTGCCTTTACTAGGGAGCCTACAAAAGCTTATAGAGGGGTAAAGTCAACTAACACATGTGCACTCAGAGTTCCCCGCGAGGAAGCGAAGTGGGTTGCGGGGACTTCAAGTAACTCTTAAGACCTTCAACACTAGGAACCTTTCAGGTTCCCAGGGGATGAGTGAAAGAGAACCCCTGGATGCCAGTGTGCCGTGGCTCTGCCCTGAGATCTCTTAGTGGCATCTGCTCTCACATTGATCAGCAAAAGGTTACACTGGATGTGCATTTAAATAGCAAAGTGAGGCACTAGTACCTAATCAGGAACATGTCAAAGGCTCAAGATGGAAAGTTTCTGGAACAGCTTAGCACAAGCAATGACTCAGACTTATTTCTGAATAGCCCTCTTGTTTAATCCAAGGTCATGCCCTAGGTGAAAAGAGAGGGAGAGAAAGAAAGAAAGAAAACACAAAGAGAGGTTCTCTCTGGGCACTACCTTGTCTATTTAGATGCAGTACTTGGCCCTGTGGGCTTCCAGAAGAGTTTAGCAATGTTCTCAGTTTTCTTTGGCCCTGTGGCTCTCTATTATAGAGTCCTCATGAGTCAGCCCAGATTCCTAAGGTAACAAGCTCTCAAACTGTTAAGGAGGCACTGTGTTGGTGGTTCAAACCCACCGGGATGCTACAATTATTAATCTACACAAACAGAAACAGAAGCTAACAGGTTTGTGGCTAAGCCACCTTTCAAACTCTTATGAATCTGGATTTAAAATCTTTCTTTCTTTGGACATGTTTGTAGAAATAAGATCTCACTCCTTCCTACAAGAGTCTCAATGCCTGTTGGAATGAGGGCAAGTGACACTAAATTCATGGAAACTTCTTGGAGAAAAAAAATGATAGCCAGAACCTGCCACCTTGAGTGACTGGGTGGAGGTTGTTGGCAGGACCCACTTCCGGGTCCATTTGCAGCTATCAGTTCTCAGTGGTTTCAGTGTTTCGCCATCGCAAAAGGAGAAGGTCCTTCACTTGCTGTGGTTTGGTAACTACCCTCAGATGTGTAGCTGAATCCCACTAAGTTGGGTACCTGGGAAGAGAAAGCCCTGTTCTTAGCTGTTTTCACCACCAGGGGGACCCCTGTTACCAGAACCATGAGTCTTGCATGCATTGTAAGTTTAAAAAAAAAAAAAAAAAAGTGGTCACTCACCATCCGAAATAAGAAATTGCCTTTCGGAGCTTTAAACCATCACACTTAATTGGAGTTTAATTAGGACATGTCACTTTCTCCCCTGGACAATATTGTTAAAACTCATCACCTCTGCAAGTTCTACAGATCTGCCCTGGTGGCTGCCTTCTCTTTCAATCCCTAGGTAATCGCAGCGGTTTCCCAAAGGAAAGACTATCTTCTAAGTCATGTTTGGAAGCTTTACTATACAACAGTCTAAACTAAAATAAACGTCATTCTAAGAAACACGTATGTGTCATGGAACATCTTAGCTGCTTCTTTCACATATCACAATCTATTTAGAAGGCCATTTTTCCTACTGCACTTTTTGTTGTTAGCTGAGACCTTTAGACAACGCCTACTGCTGACTCATCAAGCTTTTCACCATCTGACCAATAATCGTAACCACATAGAAATTAAATGGAGGTCAATTAATTAAGTCTAATAAGAGGAATATGCAAACCACATCCAAACTCCACAACCACCATCACTCTTAAGGTAAAAAGCTGATGTGTTTTTCAAGATACTGCGAATAAACTATGATGTTGGCTATTGTCTCTCGTTTTTCAACCTGGTACAGAATATCTTTGTCAGTATAATTGGGAAAGATGACAAATTTAAAGGTGTAAGAAGTTAGGAAAGAAAAAATAAAAGTTTACATATTTGCAAATAATATGGCTAAACTATTAAAAATTAATTAGTAAACTAAGCAAACCCCAAGAAGAAGGTCAGTTGTCTCTGTACAAACAACAGAATGTAAAAATGAAAGCAAAGAGTGTTTAATGTGGTCCCAGTGAAAAGCATTTGATAACTAGGAATAATCCTCACAAAACAAGTTTAAGACCTATAAACGAAACACCATTAAGAGCATTTTTTAAATATATAGGGGGAATCAGAGTGTATGTTTGGTGTCTGCTTGGATGCCCATAACCCATATACGAGTGCCTGGGTTTGAGCTCCTGTTCCAATGTCACTTCCAGTCCCACTTTCCTGCTAATGTATACCTGGAAGGCAGCAAGTAACAGCTACATTACTTTGATCTTTTCCACCTAGGTAGGAGACTCAACTTGAGTTCCAGGCTTCAGCCTCCAGCCAGGCTTGGCCATAGCTGGTTGTGGTTCAGGAGTAAATCACCAGATTCAATATTTTCTCTCTCTCAATCTCTCTCCCTCTCTCTCTGTGCCATCCACCCCTCCTTCAAATACATTATACCTTAAAAAGAGAGAGAGAGAGAGAGAGAGAGGAATCTGTTATGTTTGAAGATTATAATACTCATTACTGTGAAGATGTCCATTTTCAAACTGACATATATTCATTTAATAGAAAACCAAACAAACCTCAATAGTTTCATTTTGCAAAATAAACTGCTTCTAAACATTTTATGGAAATTAACAAGTCAAAAATAGCTAGGAAAATTGTGAGGAAATGTAGTATTAGATGTTATAAAATTACTAGATATCACAGCATTATCAAAGTCCATTTATGTAAGGATAGATCCGCTAAGGCTCTGCAGAGACCTGAGTTCGGATACTTTCTGAAGGTTCCCAAGCTGTTCCAATAGGAAGTCGGAGGTAGCCACTTCTTATCTCAAGTTTCAACCTACTTAGTATACTCCAACCTCCTGGTCTAGTAGGACTCCCATTCCAATTCATTTCCTTCTTTGTACCTGTAACTTGTATTATTCCTGATTAGTCTTGTCTTTCCATAACTACCGGAACGCAGGAACTTTTCAGAAAGAAATTCTACATGGCCTATCTAGTATTTAATATATTAAGTTACAGGACAAATATTTACTGACACAAAGAACCATTGATACGAATTGTTCCTTTGTAATCTCCAAACTGTGTTGAGCAAAATTTGTACTTCCTTGTCTCAAAATCACACACGTAGGCCAGGCATTTGACCTAGCAGCTAAAGATGCTTGGTCAGGGTGTCTGTGTCTTATATCAAAGTACCTCGGTTCGAGTTTTAGCTTTACTTCCAGGTCCAGCTCCCTGCTAATGCACATGTTAGGACAGCAGAGTTGAGTTCCTGCCACCCATGGGGGAAGCCTGGAACGGGTTTCCAGTTCCAACCTGACACAGCCCTGGCCACTGCAGACACTTAGAGCAGCACTGGCAGATAAGAGATTTCTCTCTCTCTCTTCCCTCCTCCCCCGATCCTTGTTGCTACTCCCTCCCTCTCTTTTTAAAGAAAAAGCATACATGCAGCCTCCCCAAAAACCTAAAAGAGAAAGGTTTTAAATTACTTTTTTTAGTTGTTTTCTGGAGCGTTTGTGCTTCCACCAAAAAAATACCTTTAATAATAGCATTAAGCAGGAAAAGCATATATGAAAGCTCCTGCCAGTCCAAACTGGTAACAATCCTATTAATTTAAAAAGTGAGGGGGTG